TTAGATGTATTACAGTAGAGCCCATGAACCACATATTTGGGCTGGGACCCATTGCGCTAGATGCTGTACATTGTTATTTATTAGGTGTATTACAGTAGAGCCCATGAACCACATATTTGGGCTGGGACCCATTGCGCTAGATGCTGTACATTGTTATTTATTAGGTGTATTATGGCAGAGCCTAGGCGCCCCAGAGATAGACCAGGACCCATTGTGCTAGGTGCTGTGCATTGTTTATTGGGTGTATTATGGTAGCACCTAGGAGCCTCAGCCATGGGCCATGACCCCATTGTGTTAGGCGCTGTACATTGTCATTTATTAGGTGTATTATGGTAGAACCAACTCAACCCTTTCCTTTATCAGCCCACGGCACTGTCAACACCGGGCTGGCACAGCACCAGTCTGGGATACTGGATGTGTGCGAGTTACTCAGAGCAGCTCCTTCCCAATACTGAGACCTGCGTGGCCCTCTCATTACAGGCAGTCATACCGGCGAGAAATTGCCCCATGTGGCTGCTGGGTGCAACCAGTCGAAGGCTCCACCCAGCCCGTCTGGGTACAGCCAACATTCAGGGTTGCCAGGTCTCCTGACAGCTGGGGCTGTTCTCTAAGCCCCAGCAGCTGGAGTCCTGGGACTGGCCCAGAATCAAAACAAGACCTCGTGATTCCAAAAGAAAGCTTGAAAACATTACCTACATTCCCCTTAAAAGCCAAGAGAAAGCATGATTCAATGCTTTGCATCATCCAGTACTGGGGGAGACCTGCTCCACCCCCCAGCTACCTGTGTGACTCTCAACAAGGCACTCAGTCTCACGCTCTGCCTCAGTTTCCCTATCAGCACAATGGATAGAGTGGCTGGGATTTTTTTTTTTTTTGCCCTAAAATGCCAAGGCATCAAAACGGAAACTGCTCCCAGAACAGGATCTGTCTGGGTGACGTTCCCAATGCCAAAAAAGTACCGGGGGGGGGGGGGGGGAAAGGTGTGACTGTCAAACCATCCCGACAGGACAGGCTGTGACTGAATTTATCGAGGTTTTTTAATGGGTTGAAAAGGGCAAAAGCAAAACGGAGGCTTTAGAAATGGTTGCAATGAAATGTTTCAACTGACCCAACTCAAAATGGGTTTTTGTTTTCTTTTGTCGAATGAAGAAAAAACAGTCCCCTGATTTTTCACACTTGCTATTAGGTCACCCTACCCCGAACAAAGGGAGTAATAGCCCCTACCTTCTTCTCAGGGGGGTGCAAGGATAAATCGATTAAAGAATGTGAGGCGCCCAGATACCCTAGTGCTGGGGGCCAGATAAGGACCTAAAATGAACGGATGGAACCCGAGGGCAAATAAACAGAAAAAAAGCAATCTCATGATCAAGTCCAGAATCTCGTCACTGACAGCGCTCAGTGGAAGGTGGGAGACCCCCTGCGGTGGCTGATGAGAGATAATCTGCCTCTCCCAAAAAAACACACCTTAATTCTCACCTTGCTCTCTTATAATTAGAGATTAAATCAAACCCTGAAAGAGGAAGTTTGATAGTCCCAGCCACTAATCTCTCTGCAGTCACGTACTGTGATAATTCCGGTTATTCCACTCCCTTCCTGAATCTTGTTATGGTTTTGGTTTCAACAGCTTCCTGTGGCAGTGGGTTCCACAGGTCAACTGCACGTTGCGTGAAAAATACAAGTCCTTTTATGGGCTTTGAACTCATAGATTTGTGGGGTACATCTACATTGCAATTCAAACCCAGCAGCATCACGTCTCAGAGCCCGGATCATTGGACTCGGGCTCACAGGGCTTGGGCTATGGGGCTAAAAATAGCAACGCAGACGTTCCCATCTGGGATGGAGCCCTGGCTCTGAGACCCACCCCGCACATGGAGGATCCTGCCCGAGCCTGAACGTCTACATAGCTGTTTTTAGCCCCACAGCCTGAGCCCTGTGAGCCTGAGTCAGCTGACCCAGGCCAGCAGCGGCCGTACTAGGGGATTTTCATGGCAATGTGGGCATACTCATATATTGTAAGGCCAGACAGGGCTCAGAGATCATCTAGTCTGGCCTCCTGCATAATGCTGGTTGGAGAAATTCACCCAGTTGCCCCTGCATGGAGTCCATTCCATAGCCAGCATTTTCCCAGGATGGCATCCGGGCAGCAATGGAAGCCATCGAATGATAGAGAATCCATCAGGGAACAGCTAATCAACCTGCACTGAGAAAAATTGGTGCCTTGTTCCTAACCGGAATGTGTCTATCTTTAATTTCCAGCCACTGGTTCTTGTTCTCTTTCTTTCACGAGCCCATCAGTACCTGTGATTTTCTTCTCGTGAAGATATGTACACACCGTGACCAAGTCACCTCTGGCTCTGCTTTTTGATCAGTGGAACAAATCTAGCTCTCTCCCTCGCGCATGGTGTAGGCGGGGTTTATGCTAAAAAATGAGGTCAACCCAATTACAGTAACTCGTCACTTAAAGTCGTCCCGGTTAACATTGTTGTTACCTTGCTGATCAATCAGGGAACATGCTCGTTTAAAGTTGCACAGTGCTCCCTTCTAAGACCTGCTTTGTCCACCATTGCAGCTAACTGTGGGGTGGGGGGCAGGGGCTTGGAACCAGGGTGGACCGGCAGCCCCCCTGTCAGCTGCCCGCTCCCCTAAGTTCCTGTGCAGCAGCCGCCCATCAGGCTCCCAATTGCCGGCAGTTCAGCCGTCCCTGCCCACACGGCCCTGTGCTGCCCCTGCCCTCTGCCGGGGAGCTAATAGAAGAGGTAGGCTAATAGAAACATGACAGGGCTCAGGGCGGAGGGAGCTTCCTGGCAGCAGCTCCTGCAGTCCCAGCTTGCTGATTAACTTAACAAGGTAGTGTACTTAAGAGTGGGGTCAGGATACTTAAAGGGGAAATGCGCATCTCTCTCACACACACAGGGTGTGTCTCTCTGTCTGCCATGCTGTCTCCCCTCCCTTCGTTCTGAGTGTGAGGCTACATTAACAACAATGTGTTGACCCTCGGGGGCTGAGCCGAGTGCGAGTTCATCATTTAGCAGTAAGGCATTCCCTGGGAAATATCCCAACCTCTGACTTCACCGCCTCAACCAAGCTTCACAATCATCATTGCTGTGTACAGTATTAAATTGTTTGTTTAAAACTTATACTGTGTGTGTGTGTGTATGTAGATAGATAGATAGATAGATAGATAGTCTTTTGTCTGGCAAAAAAAAAATTTCCCTGGAACCTAACCCCCCCATTTACATTAATTCTTATGGGGAAATTGGATTTGCTTAACATGGTTTCGCTTAAAGTTGTGTTTTTCAGGAACAGAACGACCACGTAAAATGAGGAGTTACTGTCTGTCGTTCAGGGATGTGTGAAAAATCCACAACGCCGAGTGAGGTAATGAAGCCAACCTAACCCTCCATGTAGACAGCTCTAGGTTGGTGGAAGAATTCTCCCATCTACCTAGCTCCTGCATTTCGGGGAGATGGATTGACTATGCCAATGGGCTGACCCCTCGCTGGAGCATTTCAAGTGTAGACAAGCCATCAGGCCCTTCTTCCCCCCAAGTCCTTGTGGCTCATCTCTGCCCCCCCCCTCCAATTCTCCACCTCCTTTTTTTCCCCTTGTCCTCGTGCAAGGAGACAGAGCGGAAGGTTCAGGGAGTTGCTTTCGGCAATGGAGAAGGAGCCGTTCCAAGGGTTAAATCCTGCCGGGTTCCCCTGCAGAGGACAGAGGCGGGAACAAAGGCTGGCTTGTTCCTGGGACTCCCTGGGATCCAACCTACTGAAGGCAGGAGCATGAGGGCGGAGGGAGCCACCTGGCTGTTAACACATAGGGCAGTTCCCCAAATACGGCAATCACGTTGACTCACAGGGACAGCCCATTTCCCTGCCATAAAAAGTGGCCCATCCCCGAGGATCCTGAGCTCTGTCCAAGACACAACCGCCAGAGCCTCTTCCGCTCCCGAGGGCCCCACACCAGGAGCTAAAGGTGAAGCAGGGCCAGTCCAGCCCCTGTTGTCGGGATGCCTGGCTGGGGGGTGGGTGGATGGGTTATGGTGGCAGGGTGGAAAGGAGATAGCTGTGGTTTGGAAACTGATGTAGGGTGGTGCCTTGGAGCATTTCACTGTTATTGGGGTGATTATGGGCTGCCAGGGCATCACTCCATTATTGGGAGGATTATGGGGCATCTCTCAGCTTTCAGGGGACAATAGGGTAACATGTGGGTATTGTTTTGTTATTGGGGATGATAATGGGGTGCCAAGGAGCACTGCTGTATTATTGGGGGGATTATAGGGAATGGCAAGGGGCACTCAACGAAGACAGATGGCTTGGTACTTCGGCTGCTCAGCTGGTACATCTCTGGTCTGCCGCTGCCTCCGCCTCCTGTAGGACCTTGGCCTAATCGCTTAGTTTCCCCATCTGTACAATGGGGATTGTAGCTCTGCCCTGCTCACCAACAAATTGTGGGGATAAATAGGGTAAAGATTGGGAAGTGCTTGGATACTACTGTAATGGGGGCCAGATAGCACCTTAGATCTATTAATTTCTCTGTTATTAAGCTGGTTATGGGGAGTTTTCCCTCCTCTGTTATTGGGGTGACATGTTAGAAGGGGAACTAGTAGGAGAGGGGTGAGCTCAGTCCAGCTCATGGAAATCTTTGTCATCTGGCTTGAGATTTAGTTCCCCCAACAGATCAGATCTTTCCATGGAACTTGTCCCTGGGGGCGACTGGGACCGGGTGAAAGTGGAAGATGCAGCTGAGTTGGGGGAGACTGGGCCCCCATTGCCAACAGATGATCACAGTGCATTTCCCCTCCCCATGTCGGGCAGTGCTATCATCTCCTGGTACAGGCAGGGCAGCCAAGGTGCAGAGAAACCACTTGCTCATGGGAGCCTGTGGAAGAACAGGGACTCAAGCCTGGCTTTACTGAATCCTAAGCGTGCACCTTCCCTGCGAGGCATCCGTCGTCCTCTAGATGCCCATGGCCAACGATTTCCTTTCTATCTCTTTCCCTGCTGTAAAGCCAGTGACTCCGACGACCGTATCCATTGCCACAACTGCCATGGAGCTGCTGGTCATCGCGATGCTGGTAGTCGGGGCAGCCACAGGTAGGAAAAAGAATCACGCAAGAAGCCACAGTTGGGTTGGGTGAGAAGGTTCTGCAGTTTCACTACAGGCCCTTTTTTGACAGTTTTAATCATTTGTATTGAGGTAAAGCCTAGAAATGCCAGTCACTGACCAACCTCCTGCTCTCCTGAGCATGTGTACACCAAGCCGGGGAGAATTTTCATGAGAACAGCAAAAGGCACCACCCTGACCCCAGGGCTATTCCTTTGCAAAATTTCAAGTCCCTGCTAGTGGTTGGAGAATTGTTTGAACATTGCAGAAATGACCTATCATTCCTGAACCTCATTCTTGGAAATGGCTGAACTGGATCTTTCCAGAGGACGTTCAGAGAGCAAGCGTGGAAAATCTCAGCCTGAAGAGTTAAAGTTTGGCAAAGCTTTCAGCCACTGAAAACAGGGTTTGATCATGGAACGTGTTAGGTAACCAATGCCGCCTACAATAGATTATCATCCCTGCCTGAGCAAGCTGGTTTGATATGTAAATTTTGCCTACCCAAATATTCAGCTCAAGCAAATTGTACACATCATCAGCGGAGAACACCAGCTGGCCTGCGACTATCCAATCCAAAAAACAAATAATTATTTCTGCTCCTCCCACCCTAAATAATTTGACTTAAAAAAAAAAAGTAATTGAAACCTGAAACATTCTGATCTGGAAACGCTGCCGCAATGCTTCATGGGAGTTGTAGTATGGGTGCTTGAGGCTCCCATCCTTCTTTACTGGCAACCTCTTTGGTCAGACTACATCTCCCATGATACACCACTCATGGAGAGGGAAGGTGATGGTATTATGGGAGTCTCTGGCTGTGACGCATCATGGGAGATGTAGTCCTTCTATGTTGCATGGCTTATAGAGGAAAATGGGGCACCAAACTGCAGCACCGCAGAAGCATGCCAACAGTATTTCCAAATAAAAAAAATAAAAAATTTCCACAGGAATTGAAAAGCTTTGTTTTGTTGAAACCCTGATTGTCCATTAAAACAGTTTCTATCCATCCCTGCTGATGATGCCCTGGCTAGCTCGTCTGCAGGGATAAGATCCAGGACCCAATGTGTAAAACCACGAGCCTTTCCTCTCTAATGAAAATATCCGGTTCCATGCACCTATAGATTTGTGAGTGCAGTTGGGCAGGAACTAGAATCTTCTGTGAGACATTCGGTGATTTTGAAATTTATTTTCATTCCAAATCAGAACTACATCAACAAATTTTGACATTTTCAGATGAAATTTTCAAAAAAATACTTCTGATCAATTAAAATGTTTAATTTTGATACACTTGAGGTGTTTAGTTCCAATTTTTAATTTGTAAGGAATTAAAATAAATTAAATAAGGTTGTAAAATAGCTAAACAAATTGTCATTTCAAAATGAAAATTGAAACGTTCCATTCTGATCATGTCCATTTCTTTCCAAAGGAGATCTCGTTGAAATAGACATGTTCCCTGTGAAATGTCTCCATTTTGACAAAATGGCATTTTCTGTAGGAAAAAACTGTTCCATTGGAAATTTTCCAACCAGCTGTACTCCTGAGCTTCTATCCTCTGGTGTAGCTATTAGGTAGGGACTCTGGGCTAGTGTGGCATGCACTAGATATGCCAATTTTTGTGGGGAAAATCGCTTGATGACATCTGTGAGAACACAACACATGGGATAATAGTGCTGCTGTTGGATGTGCAATGGAAGTGGACCATGAATGGTGAATCTAAAGAACTGAAAAGACTATTGGACTATGCAGCTCAGCTACAATATTCTGCCTTTTTTTTTTTTTTTTTTTTTTGCAAAATTTGCAAAATGGGCTAGGGCAAAGACTGCAGCTGGAGATATGTATCATTAGCATCCAGAGTCTTCACAGACGCGGTCTCCAAATGCATACCACTTGAGAAAGAAAGTCTGGGAAATCTTACTTGGTCTTGAAGCTTCTCCCAGCTGTGTCTATGGATCATTCATGATCGAAATAACCTATTTCAAAGCTGAGTGCCATCTCAAATCCCAGCTCAAATCACGTTTCAGAATTATGATTCCACTGTTGAATTTGTATCAGGAAGTCAAATAATTGTGGGATGATGTTTTTTCCAAGATCTAAATGAGACCCGTCAAGGCCAGGCTCCAGAAGCCAACTCCAAGGTTGACTTCCACATCAACCTCTACTCAGCAGGGAAGGAGAGCTAGTAACTCATGACATCAAGAAAGCTGAACTGTTTAATGCCTATTTTGCTTCAGTCTTCACTAAAAAGGTTAATGGAGACCAGATACTCAACACAATTAATATTATCAACCAGGGGGAATAAACTCAAGCCAAAACAAGGAAAGAACAGGTTAAAGAATATTTAGCTAAGTTAGATGTATTCAAGACAGCAGGGCCTGATGAAATTCACCCTTGGATACTTAAGAAATTAGCTGAAGCAATCTCAGAACCATTAGCAATTATCTTTGAGCACTCCTGGAGGACAGGTGAGGTCCCAGGAGACAGGAGAAGGGCAAACATAATTCCTCTCTTTAAAAAGGGGAACAAAGAGGACCCAGAAAATTCCAGACCAGGTAGCCTAACTTTCATACCTGAAAAGATACTGCAACAAATTATTGAACAATCCATTTGTAAGCCCCTGGAAGACAATAGGGCTATATGGAATAGCCAGCATGGATTTGTCAAGAATGAATTGTGCCAAATCAACCTAATTTCCTTCTTTAAAAGGGTTACTGGCCTATTAGATGGGAGAAAGTAGTGGATGAACTATATCTTTATTTTAGAAAGGCTTTTGACACAGTCCCCCATGACATCCCCATAAGCAAGCTAGGACAATGTGGTCTAGATGAAATTACTAGAAGGTGGGTGCGCAACTGGTTGAAAGACCATACTCAAAGAGTAGTTATCAATGGTTCACTGTCAAACTGGGGGGGGGGGGTGTATCTAGTCATGTCCCACAGGGCTCAGTCCTGGGTCTGGTACTATTCAATATTTTAATTAATGATTTGGATAATGAGTGGAGAGTATGCTGATAAATTTATGGGTGACACCAAGCTGGGAGGGGTTGCAAGCACTTTGGAGGACAGGATTAGATTTCAAAATGACCTTGACATATTGGAGAATTGGTCTGAAATTCGTATGAAATTCAGTAAAGACAACTACAAAGTAGTTTTCAGAAGGAAAAATCAAATGCGCAAAATGGGGAATAACTGGCTAGGTGACAGCACTGCTGAAAAGGATCGGGGGGTGACAGTGGAGCACTAATGGAATACGAGTCAGCAGTGTGATGCAGCTATGAAAAAGCCCAATGTCATTCTGGAGTGTATGAAAAGGGGAGTGCCATATGAAAGACATGGGAGGTAATTGTTCCACTCTACTTGGCACTGGTGAGGCCTCAGTTGGAGAAATGTGTCCACTTCTGGGCAACCACACTTTAGTAAAGACGTGGACAAATTGAAAGAGTCCGGAGGAGAGCAACAACAATGATCAGAGGTTTAGGAAACCTGACCTGCGAGAAAAGGTTAAAATAACTGGGCATGTTTAGTCTTGAGAAAGGAAGAATGAGGTCGGACCTAAGAACAATCTTCACACATGTTCAAGGCTGTTATCAAGAGGCCGGTGATCAATTGATCTCCATATCTGCTGAAGGAAGGACAAGAAGCAATGGGCTTAATCTGCAGCAAAACAGATTTAGGGTAGATATTAGGAAAAACTTCCTAACTCTCAGGATAGTTAAGCTCTGGAATCAGCTTCCAAGGAACCCCCATCACTGGAAGTTTTTAAGACCAGGTTGGACAAACACCTGTCAGGGATGGTCTAGGTTTTTTGTGGGGGTCCTGCCACAGTGCAGGGGATTGGACTTGACGACCTCTGGAGATCCCTTCCAGTCCCATATATCTATGACACTGCGATCTTGTCAAAACCAAAAGGTTCTGATCAACCTGAAATGGGTTCACCCCCCGCACTAGAATTTGTTTCATGGGAAATATTGGGGGCACACTTGGCCCCTATCCCTGGCAGCCGAAGCTGCCACCTCCTCAGCCGGGCTTTCGCTCAGGCAGCGACCCGGAGTGGCTGGCATGAGAAGCAGCTGGTCCCGCCCCTTCCGCTCCCCACCCGGGATGGGGGCCGAGCATGCCAGGGGGCAGGCGCATTGGGGAAGAACGGAGCCTCTCTCCCTCCCTCCTGGCAGGCCAAGCAGAAATCTTGGGGGGAGGGCGCTTGACCCCGCACACCCCCCTACATGTTGCCTATGAATACATCCCTATCTCTACTGCAAATACCTCTCCGGGTACAACCTCGGATCGCCTTGGGCGAGTGAGCGAGTGGCGGCTCATGGTCATCCTGCCATGGGCCAATCCGTAGGGACATGGCTGCTGCCCACCCCACCCCCTGCCCTGCTTTCAGCTGACGTTTGCCACTCTCCATTGCAGCCCCAGACCCCCAGGGACACCGGGTCATCGGAGGGAGAGACTGCATCACTGGCTCCCGTCCCTACCAGGTGGCTCTCCTGAGGAATGGCCACATCTACTGCGGCGGGAGCCTGATAGCCCCGAAGTGGGTGCTGACTGCTGCGCACTGCCGCTTACGGAGCACGTAAGTCAGTGCGGGGGTGGAGGGAGAGAGGGTGATGCATGGGAATAACGCACGTCCCCAGTCCTTATCTTCCTCCTTGGTGTCCCCCTTCTGTACCCAGGTCTCCCTCTGCACCCCGAATCCCCAGCCCCGTACTCCTCCCTTTTTTTTCCAGCCCACAAATCGTGTTTGTGGCTCTTCTCTGCACCCTCTGCAGTTTTCCAGCATCCTTGTTCAGATGTGCCCACCCCAGCACGGACGCAGCACGCCAGCATCGGTCTCCCCAGCGGCGTGCGCAGGGCTAAAGCCCCAAGTCTCCCTGTGATGCTTCCCCCTCCCCGGGGTGCAAACTGGAACTGGGGTACTGCTGAGCCCTCTGCTTTACCAGTCTGGGTTCCCTCTCACACTGTGATGTTGTGACAAGCCGCAAGCCGCCAAGCTTGCCCTCACACCAACATCCACAGGCAGGGGTCACACCGATGCTTCCCTGAGTCATAGCAGGGGCCATTAGCCATATCCTAGCTAGAACATCTTCAGGAAGGACCATCAAGTGTGGACAGGCTACTTCCATGGTCCATTGTGAGTTACGCATTCTTTGATGGGCCACTCAACTCGAATAGTCCCTTCACCATGTGCTGGCCAGACTAGAAGCAAACTGCCTTGAGGGTGTTACCCCAGGAGCAAACACATTTGAAATACAGATACATAGTCAATATTCATAACTCCAGATACAAACATGATACATGCCTACAAACAGGATAATCATATTTAGCAAAGCATACATTTTCCATGGACACCGCACACGACATATGTGGTACAAGATGCATCATAATTATGTCATACCCATATCATAATCATATCACTATGGTGACTATGGGGTGCAGAGTGTCACACACCCCACCCTGCAGCTGAAGACTGGAGCCCTGAATGGAGAGGGGTGGGGGGGGGGGGCCTCCGGAAAATACTCAGTGAGAATTTAATCCCTGGAATGAATCCCTGGTGTTCTGCAGAAGGAGAGTGGCCGAAAAATTGAAAGCGATTCAGGCTGCTTTTTTAGAGCTCTGTAATTACTGCAAATCCTGCAGATAGATCTGTCCTTCCCCTCCCCTCCTTTTCTCCTAACTCTCTTTGTGTGTTAGGATGAAGCTGGTATCTTTGTTGTGTAAGCAGAGTCAGGTTGAGCTCTACCCTGACATCTGGAGGGGAGTTGTGGAAAAGGACTTCAGGAGCTGATCTCGTTGGCATGAGCACACCCACCCCGCCTAGCATGATGGGACTGCTTGCCCAAATGGTCACTTTGGCTGCTGTGGGATCCCCAGTCTCTTTGTTATTGGGGCAGGAGTAATAAAGCGTTGTTATTCTGGTTATGTGAATCAAGGACAGTAGAACTGTACCTGGCATTTTATGACGGAGGGACTTGCCCTCGACTAAGTAGCATTCGGGCCAGGAATCCATAAACTGAGAAAATCCATAAACTGAGAAATATTTCCTCCTCATGTGTGGGACTTTGAGAGTTTGAGAGTCTAAGACAATGTCTTATCACCCACAAGGTGATCCTTCTACTGTCCTTGATTCACATAACCAGGATAACAACCCTTTATTACTCCTGCCCCAATAACAAAGAGACTGGGGATCCCACAGCAGCCAAAGTGACCATATGGGCAAGCAGTCCCATCATGCTAGGCGGGGTGGGTGTGCTCATGCCAACGAGATCAGCCCCTGAAGTCCTTTTCCACAACTCCCCACCAGATGTCAGGGTAGAGCTCAACCTGACTCTGCTTACAGTTGTATTTGGAAAACTAATTAAAACATATAAATAATACGTTAAAAATTGCAATATCGCATGTCGACATTTTCAAAACGTTTCCATTTTCAATTTGAGACTTTTTCTTTCAAACTGCCCTGTTAGTTTATTTTCAGAAATGTCTCATGATGATTGAAATGAAATTTTCTCCCACGACTTTTTGATTCACTGGAAAATTCGAAACTCTTTGACCCAGATTTACTCTTTGCAGATCTCAGTGCTCCCGCACATTGGTTTAACTTGGTATGAGCACGCCACAGTAAAACCAGGACAAGGCAAGAGTAAAAATAACCATGTTAAGAGGGTCCCAAAAGTAGGATGAGCAGATAGCAAGTGTGAAAAACCAGGACACTTTTGTTCAGGGAGGGAGGTAAAGTTACACAAACCTTTTATATTGGGACGATCTCGACATTATTGGAACAACTGGTCAGCCCCACTCAAAAGCCAAGGACAAGGAATTCACGATCTTTGGTGAAAACTGCAGCTTTGATAACATCAAAATGTCCCACAAATTCAGAACGAGTTTACCAAATTGTTCATTTCAGCGTGTAAAACCAGGTGCAAGAAATAGTAGTGTCAGCAACAGTGGTGAAGAATGTATGGAAGCTCACTATTCAGATGGAGAAAACTAACAAAGTGTGCTGTGTACATGTGGCATGAGAACAAAGCATGAGATGTACAGGAATTGGGCCTGAAAATAACCGGACCAACCATAAAGTGCATGATATGTAAAATGGAGGATGCATGCATCAGAATAGGGTTAAACTTGTATATAAAGTAACCAATACTTGTATTCTTTGGATCTGTGGTATGCCCTGTACTCCCCTCCCCGCCCTTGACACAGGACTCTGACCAACTCTGTGAAGTCTAAGTGTATGCCAAGAAAAACACGAGATTGGACGAGACTGGAGTGAAACCGAGTTCTCGGTGAACAAAGTTGATGAGATCTCGGAGACTACCCCAACATCGAAAAATCCATTATTGGCCCAATTCTAGTTGCTTGCCCGATATGACCTTTGAATTGCCGCCCACTGATCTCTTCCTCTGTCCTCTCTCCATGCAGCTCCCTGCAGGTGCATCTGGGGGATTATAATCTACGAGTGAACGAAGGCACAGAACAGATACGAAGAATCCGCAGCTTCTTCGTGCATCCAGAGTATAACTTCCGCCGACATGACAACGACTTCATGCTTCTGGAGTTGGATGCACCAGCTCAACTCAACCGCTACGTGAACACAATCAACCTGGCTACAAGTTGTGCCTCTCCTGGAACACGATGTGTCGTGTCAGGATGGGGCACCATCAGGTCCCCCCAAAGTATGGCATGCTGGGGTGTAGAGGGGAGGGGTTGAGGTTGGGCTCAGCTTGGTGAGGGGGTGGAAGCTCTTTAAGAAGACCTCGTTAATGGGCTGTCAAGGGTTCTTGGCTTCTCCTGGGAGAAATTTTTCAACAGAAATGATTTGTAGTGAGAAATGCAGCTTCGACACCACCAAACTGTCCCACACAGGGGGGAGGGATAGCTCAGTGGTTTGAGCATTGGCCTGCTAAACCCAGGGTTGTGAGTTCAATCCTTGAGGGGGCCATTTGGGATCTGGGGCATAAATTGTGGATTGGTCCTGCTTTGAGCAGGGGGTTGGACTGGATGACCTCCTGAGGTCCCTTCTAACCCTGATATTCTATGATTCTTTTCAGAAAAAAATATTTTGAAAATAGTCAAAACTTTGCATTTGAAAACACGGGGACACAATGGCTTGGGTTTCTTTCTATTCAAAATGTTTCCTTCAGATGTTTCCTTTTGTTTTCAAAACAATTTAAAAACATTACAGACGTGCTTCAGATCACAATGAAATATAGTATAACTTGAAATACTGGATTTAAATAGAAGGATTTGTTTGACCTGAGATGAGGATTTTTTTCTGGCTTTTCTGTTCATCAAAAATTTCCCTTTTTGGAAAAGGAATGTGGCCAGATCCCAGTGGGGATCAATCGGCCATCGCTCCGTGGAGTCAATTGGGCCAGATCCCAGCTGGGGTCAATCGGCCGTCGCTCCGTTGGAGTCAATTGGGCCAGATCCCAGCTGGGGTCAATCGGCCATCGCTCCGTGGAGTCAATTGGGCCAGATCCCAGCTGGGGTCAATCGGCCGTCGCTCCATTGGAGTCAATCGGGCCAGATCCCAGCTGGGGTCAATCGGCCGTCGCTCCATTGGAGTCAATGGGTCTATGCCAGTTTACATCAGTTGAGGGTCTTACCCTAAGTTTTCTTCGCTTGCACTGTGTACCCTACCCATGAACTGCTGTTTTTCTGTCGTTGCCCAGATTTGTTCCCAGACGTCATGCGGTGTGCAGATGTCTCTAGCGTCAGCCAGGCCAGGTGCCAGGAAGGCTACGGGGCCAAAATCACGGAGAACATGCTCTGTGCTGGTGTGGAACAGGGCGGCGTAGACTCGTGCCAGGTAAGGGGGCATCCCGGAGAGCGGGGTCGGTGCTGGGTGTCGGAGCTCACACAGCTCAATACTCTTTATCTCCTACGACGTGCAAACCTTTCTCAGCCTGCTCCTGAGGGGCCATCGTCACTCAGGCCCTGGCCCCAGCCAGCCTTCGTGCCCCATGAAAGAGCAGCCGATCTGCCCTCCGGCCGCACCGAGCCCTAAGGGCTGGGCTTCATCCAGTTCCTGGGCCTGTCTGATCCCCAGCGCAGGTGTAAGAAGCTCAGACCACCTGAACCCATTTCTGCTCTTAAACCCTTCCTGTGTCTGTGTGCGTGCCTGCCGCCCCCTGCTGGAGGGGATGGGCCCTGCTCTGTGTGTGTGTGTGGGCACTGGGGGCATGGCTGCGTTTTGCTCATTGTGCCATGTTGTCTCCGCAGGGGGATTCAGGAGGCCCACTGGTCTGCAACGGGCAGCTGCAAGGCGTGGTCTCCTGGGGGTCCGCTGTCTGTGCCCTGCCGGGACGGCCCGGGGTCTACGCCAATGTCTGCAAAGCTGTCCAGTGGGTGAGGAACACCATAGGGAGGAGGTGCCCCATATTGGACTGAGAGCTCACAGCACGTCCCGCCTGCCACAATAATCCACCAAACACACACCCCAGCCACGCCTCTCCTCATCTTGCTGCGGCACCCAGGGAGTGCTGATCTGGGTCAGACTAGGATGGGGGCACTGCGGTGGGACCAGCCCAAAGCAGCCAATGGTTATGAGCCAGGCTTAACCAAATCCTGAGACTGGGTTAAAAATGTGGGACTGGTTTAAAAATCATGAATCAGCCTGAAGATTGTGAGATTGCTTTAAAAATCACGAGATCAGCATTAAATGACTGAGACTGCGTTAACAGATCACAAGATTGGCTGAAAAGTCATGAATCAGCCTGAAGTTCACAGGAGTGCGTCAAAAATCGAGAGGTTGTCTTTCAAAATCGTGAGATTGGATTAAAAATTATGAGCCGGGTTTTTAACTGCACTAAATCGCGCCCAGGTCTTTGATCTGGTCTCTTGCATTGGTGCGGGTGGCGTACGCGGCTATAACTGCTCTGACGTCACCAAATCTGACGTCCCGTGGAGTTCAAGCTTCATCGTGAAGTGCTACAGAAACATAGCTAGAGCAAAGGCCCGCCTGTAGCATAAACAAACCCTGGGAGTTCATGTTCGGTTGATTATCCACCACAGCCCCCAAATCTTTCTGACAGTCACTGCTTCTCTGGGTGGAGTCCCCCATCCTCTATGTCTGGCAGACATTCTGTGTTCTGAGACAGACGCCATTTACATCCCCACGAGACTCAGGGGAAAACTGCAAGACCTGGCAGCGGTGAGACTCAGCGACGCAAATCTCCCATGAATTTATGACACGTCTCATGAGGGTGGGTTTGTTTCTTAAAGCCTCGAGTTCCTGAGTCACGTGACTCTGTGAGAATCTGAGCTTTTACTGAAAAAAGTCACTTTCTAGACCTAGGCTTTGGGGAAGGAAAACTGGGGAACTGACCCTTAGAGGCTCCAAAAACAGTGAATAAACAAACCCTAGTGGTTTTGTTTTGTTTTCACATCTTGTGATTTTTTTAAGCCAATCTCACAATTTTGCATGGGTCCATACTTGCCAATTTTGAACTCTTTGGGTAAGAGATACAGTGGAGTCGCATATTACACGGGGGTTAGGTTCTAAAGTCAGCGTGTAAGGCGAAAATCATGTAAAGTCAAAATTACCCTTGAAAATCCCTTAAATTGCCCATAAAGTACAGTATACTGTACATGGTTTTGTGTCTACAACCCTGTACAGTAATATATATAAATGTACAATGTATACAGTAATGTGCAATATATAATAAAGAGTACATATATATCTGTATGTATATATATATCTTCTTACTATATGTTCCATTCTATGCATCCGATGAAGTGAGCTGTAGCCCATGAAAGCTTATGCTCGAATAAATTTGTTAGTCTCTAAGGTGCCACAAGTAAGGGAGCAGTATGACTGCTCAGAGCTCCGGTACGAAACTGCAGAAAAACCCGAGTGTCTCTGGATTAAGTTTAGAAGTGTGTGCAACAAGAGTGATGTAGTGGTGGGAGTCTGCTATAGACCACCGGACCAGGGGGATGAGGTAGATGAGGCTTTCTTCCGGCAGCTCACGGAAGCTACTAGATCGCATGCCCTGATTCTCATGGGTGACTTTAATTTTCCTGATATCTGCTGGGAGAGCAATACAGCGGTGCATAGACAATCCAGGAAGTTTTTGGAAAGCGTAGGGGACAATTTCCTGGCGCAAGTGCTAGAGGAGCCAACTAGGGGGGGCGCTTTTCTTGACCTGCTGCTCACACACCGGGTAGAATTAGTGGGGGAAGCAAAAGTGGATGGGAATCATAGAATCATAGAATCATAGAATATCAGGGTTGGAAGGGACCCCAGAAGGTCATCTAGTCCAACCCCCTGCTCAAAGCAGGACCAATTCCCAGTTAAATCATCCCAGCCAGGGCTTTGTCAAGCCTGACCTTAAAAACCTCTAAGGAAGGAGATTCTACCACCTCCCTAGGTAACGCATTCCAGTGTTTCACCACCCTCTTAGTGAAAAAGTTTTTCCTAATATCCAATCTAAACCTCCCCCACTGCAACTTGAGACCATTACTCCTCGTTCTGTCATCTGCTACCATTGAGAACAGTCTAGAGCCATCCTCTTTGGAACCCCCTTTCAGGTAGTTGAAAGCAGCTATCAAATCCCCCTCATTCTTCTCTTCTGCAGGCTAAACAATCCCAGCTCCCTCAGCCTCTCCTCATAACTCATGTGTTCCAGTCCCCTAATCATTTTTGTTGCCCTTCGCTGGACTCTCTCCAATTTATCCACACCCTTCTTGAAGTGTGGGGCCCAAAACTGGACACAGTACTCCAGATGAGGCCTCACCAATGTCGAATAGAGGGGAACGATCACGTCCCTCGATCTGCTCGCTATGCCCCTACTTATACATCCCAAAATGCCATTGGCCTTCTTGGCAACAAGGGCACACTGCTGACTCATATCCAGCTTCTCGTCCACTGTCACCCCTAGGTCCTTTTCCGCAGAACTGCTGCCTAGCCATTCGGTCCCTAGTCTGTAGCTGTGCATTGGGTTCTTCCGTCCTAAGTGCAGGACCCTGCACTTATCCTTATTGAACCTCATCAGATTTCTTTTGGCCCAATCCTCCAATTTGTCTAGGTCTTTCTGTATCCTATCCCTCCCCTCCAGCGTATCTACCACTCCTCCCAGTTTAGTATCATCCGCAAATTTGCTGAGAGTGCAATCCACACCATCCTCCAGATCATTTATGAAGATATTGAACAAAACCGGCCCCAGGACCGACCCTTGGGGTACTCCACTTGATACCGGCTGCCAACTAGATATGGAGCCATTGATCACTACCCGTTGAGCCCGACAATCTAGCCAGATTTCTACCCACCTTGTAGTGCATTCATCCAGCCCATACTTCCTTAACTTGCTGACAAGAATACTGTGGGAGACCGTGTCAAAAGCTTTGCTAAAGTCAAGAAACAATACATCCACTGCTTTCCCTTCATCCACAGAACCAGTAATCTCATCATAAAAGGCGATTAGATTAGTCAGGCATGACCTTCCCTTGGTGAATCCATGCTGGCTGTTCCTGATCACTTTCCTCTCATGCAAGTGCTTCAGGATTGATTCTTTGAGGACCTGCTCCATGATTTTTCCAGGGACTGAGGTGAGGCTGACTGGCCTGTAGTTCCCAGGATCCTCCTTCTTCCCTTTTTTAAAGATTGGCACTACATTAGCCTTTTTCCAGTCATCCGGGACTTCCCCGGTTCGCCACGAGTTTTCAAAGATAATGGCCAATGGCTCTGCAATCACAGCCGCCAATTCCTTCAGCACTCTCGGATGCAACTCGTCCGGCCCCATGGACTTGTGCACGTCCAGCTTTTCTAAATAGTCCCTAACCACCTCTATCTCCACAGAGGGCTGGCCATCTCTTCCCCATTTTGTGATGCCCAGCGTAGCAGTCTGGGAGCTGACCTTGTTAGTGAAAACAGAGGCAAAAAAAGCATTGAGTACATTAGCTTTTTCCACATCCTCTGTCACTAGTTTGCCTCCCTCATTCAGTAAGGGGCCCACACATTCCTTGGCTTTCTTCTTGTTGCCAACATACCTGAAGAAACCCTTCTTGTTACTCTTGACATCTCTGGCTAGCTGCAGCTCCAGGTGCGATTTGGCCCTCCTGATAACATTCCTACATGCCCGAGCAATATTTTTATACTCTTCCCTGGTCATATGTCCAACCTTCCACTTCTTGTAAGCTTCTTTTTTATGTTTAAGATCCGCTAAGATTTCACCATTAAGCCAAGTTGGTCGCCTGCCATATTTACTATTCTTTCGACTCATCGGGATGGTTTGTCCCTGTAACCTCAACAGGGATTCCTTGAAATACAGCCAGCTCTCCTGGACTCCTTTCCCCTTCAAGTTAGTCCCCCAGGGGATCCTGGCCATCCGTTCCCTGAGGGAGTCGAAGTCTGCTTTCCTGAAGTCCAGGGTCCGTATCGTGCTGCTTACCTTTCTTTCCTGAGTCAGGATCCTGAACTCAACCAACTCATGGTCACTGCCTCCCAGATTCCCATCCACTTTTGCTTCCCCCACTAATTCTACCCAGTTTGTGAGCAGCAGGTCAAGAAAAGTGCCCCCCCTAGTTGGCTCCTCTAGCACTTGCGCCAGGAAATTGTCCCCTACGCTTTCCAAAAACTTCCTGGATTGTCTATGCACCGCTGTATTGCTCTCCCAGCAGATATCAGGAAAATTAAAGTCACCCATGAGAATCAGGGCATGCGATCTAGTAGCTTCCATGAGCTGCCGGAAGAAAGCCTCATCTACCTGGGAGGCAGTGACCATTAGTTGGTTGAGTTCAGGATCCTGACGCAGGGAAGAAAGGTAAGCAGCAGGATACGGACCCTGGACTTCAGGAAAGCAGACTTATACTCCCTCAGGGAACGGATGGCCAGGATCCCCTGGGGGACTAACTTGAAGGGGAAAGGAGTCCAGGAGAGCTGGCTGTATTTCAAGGAATCCCTGTTGACGTTACAGGGACAAACCATCCCGATGAGTCGAAAGAATAGTAAATATGGCAGGCGACCAGCTTGGCTTAATGGTGAAATCCTAGCGGATCTTAAACATAAAAAAGAAGCTTACAAGAAGTGGAAGGTTGGACATATGACCAGGGAAGAGTATAAAAATATTGCTCGGGCATGTAGGAATGATATCAGGAGGGCCAAATCGCACCTGGAGCTGCAGCTAGCCAGAGATATCAAGAGTAACAAGAAGGGTTTCTTCAGGTATGTTGGCAACAAGAAGAAAGCCAAGGAAAGTGTGGGCCCCTTAATGAATGAGGGAGGCAACCTAGTGACAGAGGATGTGGAAAAAGCTAATGTACTCAATGCTTTTTTTGCCTCTGTTTTCACTAACAAGGTCAGCTCCCAGACTGCTGCGCTGGGCATCGCAAAATGGGGAAGAGATGGCCAGCCCTCTGTGGAGATAGAGGTGGTTAGGGACTATTTAGAAAAGCTGGACGTGCACAAGTCCATGGGGCCGGACGAGTTGCATCCGAGAGTGCTGAAGGAATTGGCGGCTGTGATTGCAGAGCCATTGGCCATTATCTTTGAAAACTCGTGGCGAACCGGGGAAGTCCTGGATGACTGGAAAAAGGCTAATGTAGTGCCAATCTTTAAAAAAGGGAAGAAGGAGGATCCTGGGAACTACAGGCCAGTCAGCCTCACCTCAGTCCCTGGAAAAATCATGGAGCAGGTCCTCAAAGAATCAATCCTGAAGCACTTGCATGAGAGGAAAGTGATCAGGAACAGCCAGCATGGATTCACCAAGGGAAGGTCATGCCTGACTAATCTAATCGCCTTTTATGATGAGATTACTGGTTCTGTGGATGAAGGGAAAGCAGTGGATGTATTGTTTCTTGACTTTAGCAAAGCTTTTGACACAGTCTCCCACAGTATTCTTGTCAGCAAGTTAAGGAAGTATGGGCTGGATGAATGCACTATAAGGTGGGTAGAAATCTGGCTAGATTGTCGGGCTCAACGGGTAGTGACCAATGGCTCCATGTCTAGTTGGCAGCCGGTATCAAGTGGAGTGCCCCAAGGGTCGGTCCTGGGGCCGGTTTTGTTCAATATCTTCATAAATGATCTGGAGGATGGTGTGGATTGCACTCTCAGCAAATTTGCGGATGATACTAAACTGGGAGGAGTGGTAGATACGCTGGAGGGGAGGGATAGGATACAGAAGGACCTAGACAAATTGGAGGATTGGGCCAAAAGAAATCTGATGAGGTTCAATGAGGATAAGTGCAGGGTCCTGCACTTAGGACGGAAGAACCCAATGCACAGCTACAGACTAGGGACCGAATGGCTTGGCAGCAGTTCTGCGGAAAAGAACCTAGGGGTGACAGTGGACGAGAAGCTGGATATGAGTCAGCAGTGTGCCCTTGTTGCCAAGAAGGCCAATGGCATTTTGGGATGTATAAGTAGGGGCATAGCGAGCAGATCGAGGGACGTGATCGTTCCCCTCTATTCGACATTGGTGAGGCCTCATCTGGAGTACTGTGTCCAGTTTTGGGCCCCACACTTCAAGAAGGATGTGGATAAATTGGAGAGAGTCCAGCGAAGGGCAACAAAAATGATTAGGGGTCTGGAACACATGAGTTATGAGGAGAGGCTGAGGGAGCT